AGACAGTTTGTCTTCAACAAAATAACTCATAAAGAACTGAAATTAATGAACCCACATCGGGTTGGCTGTAGTTTTATATATGAAAATATTTGTCCGTATGTATTTATATTAATATATATAAAAAAATATATAGGCAGACCCTGGCTAAAGCTGGAAAATTTCCAGGTAGAAAAGGAGATATATAAAAATCTGTTCTATGACACTTATTATGTATTTTTATTTAAGTATATTTTATATGTTTTTTAATTTTCTCCCGTAAAGCTCTGGATACTTTGTGATTGGTGCTTATTACGAGTTACACACTCAAAACTTACAGTTATGAAGTTATCTTCGGTCCTATATCTATACCGTTTTATTGTTTTATACTACATAATCCCGAGGTTTAAGTTACTTTACATCAACCGTGATCACTACCAATCGAGATGTAAGTGTCTGTCTATAATTCTTCTTATTTATCATCTGCCTCAAAATACTTCTTAATTTCCTCTCGTACTGTACTGGATGCTCATAGAATGTGAATGCATCTTGTTTTCAGAGTGACCAGGAACATGGGATTGTATGTTATTGAGGAAGTACATCTTCTGTGAGGGAAGTACTTCCCCGGTCGAGCCAGCCCATGTTCGAGCTGTAGTAACTTGACCACAGCTAGGCTCTACCACCTTCAAAAGCACCACTTTAAACAAGTTTTTTTTTTTAATTACAATATCCTCTTAATCTTCAATCGATTTGTGGTTTATCAAACCTGATAGTGGGTTTTCGTTTAAACACTATACTGATTTTGTTTTAAATTAATCCCTACTAATATTATAAATGCGAAAGTAACTCTGTCTGTTTGTGTGTCTGTCTGTTACGCTATTACGCCTAAACCACTGAACTGATTTTAATGAAATTTGGTACAGAGGTAGAGTTGACCTTGAGAAAGAACATAGGATAGTTTATATCCCAGACTTTTGAAAGGTTCTCTTGGAAACGCGATATAACTGAACTACACGCGGGCGAAGCTGCGGGCGGAAAGCTCGTCTTCTATAAATTTTTATTACTTTCAATGTTATTTTTCATACTTTTCTATAATAATATTTTATATAGGTCAATTATAATTTATTATTGCGTCCATGTAAGAACATAACTCCACTAATTTTTACACACAGTTTGTGTATGAATAATTTATAAATGAACAGGCGAATCCACAGTATATCATTAGTTGCGGCCTCGCTAAATATAACATAAATCTTATTAAGGACTTCTTTTCGTGTAAAACTGATTTAATAATTTAACGTTATTTTCTTTATTACATAAATTAACTATGTAGTTGTAAGTCTTGACTTCGTTCATATATTGTGTTTTGAAAAACTCGATTTAATTAACGAAAATAATTCTATATACCTATATAGCTACATACATGAATTTTTTTATATGTTGTCAGTAATTAGTATACAATATGTACATAGTTTAGATGTGTTGGAAGTCAGTGGTGTCCTAGTGGTTAAAAGGCCTGCCTCTCATGCATGAGAGCGCGGGTTCTATCCAGGCAAGTACCAATGTGATTTGTACGAGTCATATGTACTTTATAAGAGTATTTAGACATCACTGATAGGTGAAGGAAAACATCGTGAGGAAACATGAACTTATATCAAATTATAAGTTTGAAATCACCAACCCGTCTTGAGCAAGCGTGGTGATTAATGCTCTAACCTCCTCCATGTGAGAAGAGACTCAGCAGTGGGCTCTGATAGGCTGATGATGATGACGATATGTAAGAAGATTTTTATTTTACGTACGATAGTACACAATATCAGTAAGAATTTTGACGTTCAGAGATAATAATATAGGCTTTAAGTTAGTTTTTACATATTTTTCTCTTATACATATATGTATATTAATTTTAAATATTGTAATATACAGTGTAAACTCTATATAACGACACTGAAGGGACCGTGCATTTTAGTGCGTTATAGAGAGTTGCCGTTAAATAGAAAGAAGAAAAATCAGAATTAGAAAAAGACAAAGTTTATTTCAGACTAGTGTTAGAACTTATGTACATAAAAAAGAATGTTATTCGAACGCTATTGTGTATAGTCAATTATTTTTGTTTGACGTCTTTTGCTGCACCAGTACTGTTGGTGTATTTTTTTTAGTTATTTTATTAATATCTTGCGATATTGAGGCATCTTGGTGATAAAATAAATAATTTCGAGTAGTTTAGCTGCTTCAAGAGCTTCTTTAATGCTCGGCGGAGGCTCAGGCTCATCTGTCTCATCTTCTTTATCTCCTTGCTGTTGATCCTCAGTTTTTCTCACTGAATCTAAAGTTTCCTCGTCTGTGAGTGAAGCCGTTGTAAGGAGGCAGTCATCTATCTCCATGTATGTTTGAAAATTTATCGTATTTCCTGCCATGTTAAACTGTTGAATCCACTCAGTTAATGGAAGTTCGTCGTCACTATCAAACTCAGGTTCCGTTTCCAACTCATCACTCGTAGAATTGGTACAAAGTCCAGCATGTCGAAGAGAGTGCTGTATAGTTGTGGGTGTCACTTCTTCCCAGGCTTTAGATAAAAAATTTACTGCATGCAGCATATTAACAGTAGTTTTACCCTCAGATTCGACTAGCTCCATCAATAATTTCTTTCTGTAGTGACCCTTGAGGCTTTTGATCACACTCTGATTATTTTTCCATATTGTAGACACGGTAGAGCGACTAAATCCAAAGCGTTTGCCAACATCGCTTATCTTCTCTCCAGTTTCTATTGCGCGTATCAGTAAAACTTTTCGTCAACACACAGTGATTTTCTTTTACTAGCCATGTTTACAGTTTGAGATTTTGTGATCAACTGAGAATATGATAACGAATGGGTAATACAAGACTCCTACTTATGGTCAAAAACCGTCGACACGTGTAAGCAATTTGTAATTGTAAACAAAAGAACGAATTTCTTAGAAAGTTCGGTATGCATGATAGGGACAGTCGAGTTTATTGCGGGCTAGGATAACAAAGCGACAAAGGAACGTACACAGCTGCACAGTTTTTACTAATTTTAGCAACTTAAAAGGTACTTTTTATTACTTAATTGTTGTCGTTATTGAGAGTGTGTGTGCCGCTATGTAGAGTGTATCATTGTATGGTAGACAAGCTAAACCAACCAAAGTCGAATGATTTCGACGCTTTAGAGAGTTTGTCGTTAAATCGAGTGTCGTTATATAGAGTTTACACTGTATATATTTATTGTTGAATGTTACCTAAACGAAACAAGATATGAAGACAAGTTCTTCCAATACAGATCACATATCAAAGGAAGGGTCGCCTTAACCCATCAGTATGGAAAACAGTTTATTGAAAGTCCCTGTGTTTATAAAACACATTATTATTATGTGAAAGTGAGGATTTATATTTGTTGTTAAGAAAAATACTGAACAAGTTTTGAAATTATATAATAGATTACTTATTGTCGCTTCAATATTGAGTAATTGTGTGATATTAAAATTTTGTGAAGAATCAGAGTCTTGACTGCATCATATACAGTAAGGATAGTTTTACTCAAATGCAAGAACAAGATGAGACTTGGTCAGTCTTGATCTAGCAAGAATGCAAGAACAAGACCAAGTCTGCAAGGATAAGACAGATTTTGGGCAACACTAAGTACGGAGAGAAATATAAAATTTATAATACTATACAGTTAGTTAATACAAATGTTGTATTTAATTATTGATAGAAACAATGAGACCATTTGTGATAGTGACAGAAAAAGATCCGACAAACGTAGTGTTGATATGAAATAAGTCGATTGAGGAAAGTAAAAAAATGAAGAAATCCTCTCCAGAAACAAAAGACTTTTTTCAGGAGAGATGAAGGCAGTGTTAAACAATATATAGCGTATTTCAAAACTGATGATTTAAAAAAATAAAAGATGGAAAAGGCTTAACAATTATTTGAGTACAGTAATACCCCGCTTAACGCGAGGGATACGTTCCGAAGAAAATCGCGTTAACTGAAATTCGCGTATATCGAGGTTTATGATTAAACACAGTCAAAATTTAATACACAAATATAAAAATCATTTTAATCAATCACTTTAATTCTAAGAACACTATACAATACATAGGTACTCCTATTTTTTACGAAAAAATACATGTACCTATTGTTTTTGGGTAGCGTTTTGTTTACGTTCTTGTAATATACGTTCATAACACCAAACACTGTTTTTAATTATTTGACACACTTTGTCATCATTATTATCTATACCCTGCAATATGTCCAAATCTGAATAATTTTTTGAAATTCGCGTTATAATGAAACCGCGCATAACGGGGTCGCGCTAAGCGGGGTATTACTGTAGTACGTAAAGAGGTCATTTTATTATTAAGGAATGATAATATAATTACAAATGAATTATATTATACCAAAAAAATCGTATTTATATGAAGTTTCTCAAGTCAACAGAATAAAAGCCCATTATATAAAAATAGCTATAGTTTTGAGTGAGTGAGCCATATCTTTGTGAAAAGATATTAAAGCATCAGCATAATTTTATCAAGATAGCATTCTTGAGGTATTACAAGCCATTACAAGACCATGTTCAATAATGAAGTATCAAGATCGAGTGAGTAATGAAATTAACATATTTTCTATATAATTATAATATTTTATATATTAATTTTAACAAATAGCATCCATTAAACCGTCACGTGCGTGTAATGTAAGCGAGGATCCTTCATAGTATTATCACATACAGTCGATGTATTACAAGTGACGCGCGCGTGTGTGTGTGTGTGTGTGTGTGTGTGTGTGTGTGTGTGTGTGTGTGTGAGTCGTTACATCCAACTAATGTACTGACCACCTCCTCCACATCTGTACATTATACAACACTCATCATCACAATCAATGTGGACTTCTTCACGCGTCATTACGTCACTCGGACATCATCATGTTTGAACACATTCCGTGTGTGTGTGTCCTTAGTACGTGTCGTATAATAAACTCGACACTGTCAGTGTGATGGTGTACCTATGTATCAGTTCCTCCCCCTCTCAGCTGGAGCCCGTCCTCGTGACCTGCAGCCTCCAGCTGTCCTCATACAAGTCATGAGTCCAGCTCATCTGAGAGACTCGCTACAAGGACCTGTTCCTCTGACCTCTGTGTTCATATAACTGTTTTTTATGAATGTTTTAAACTAACTCTCTCTCATTATTATATAAGTATATGTATATATGTATTGACTTTATATCAACACACTTCATACATTTCTCTGAGAATAATTCCGTAGATCATTCATACGAGGTCACGGTCAAGAGTTAGTTCAGATATAAATATAGTCGTTTTGATACAACCATTATAATTTATTTAGATAATAAATCGATATTTTTGTATGGTTGTTTGATTTTAGCATATCATAAACTTTTATAATATGAAATTTTTTAACCTTTAATAAAGAATTGATTGTATCAAGAATATTATTGATTAATTACGATTATTATTTCTTAAGTTTAAAAGATAAATGTCTATTTAAAGACCAACATATTTATTACTTCTCCTTATTAAATAATTGGGAAAACTATTCTGTTTTATCATTTATGTACACACTTTTCTACTCTTACTTAGGGGATTTAAGATTTTCGATTATTCATTTAAATGAAACTAATATTTTTCAAATTATATTACGCGACTTGTTTTTTGTCATAAACTATATATTCACGACGTTTAAAATATTTTATGAAATAACAAGACCAACTGAAAGACATTCATATCTTGTCTTTATGATCACGGTTGCTGTGAAGTAACCGAAACGTCGGGAGTATGTAGTTTATAATCCCTACTAATACATATTATAAATGCGAAAGTAACTCTGTCTGTCTGTCTGTTACGCTTTCACGCCTAATCCACTGAACTGATTTTATTGAAATTTGGTACAGAGATGGAGTTGACCTTGAGAAAGAACATAGGATAGTTTTTATACTAAAATTTTGAAAGGTTCTCTTGAAAACGCGATATAACCAAAATCCACGCGGACGAAGCTGCGGGCGGAAAGATAGTTATTAAATAATTGGGAAAAGTATTAAACATTTTGTTTTAAATAAAATACTCTTCCTAAGTCATTATCTGAATTAAGATAAAACTGATATATTTATATTTATGTTAGTGGGTGCACCATCATAATTAATAATTCCTCTCATAGATTATGGTGTTATATGGTAAGTAAGTCGCTCCCCTCATCCCATGGGACTATTATCACGCCTCACCATGACCCGTGATAAACACACCAGATTATATTAACCACACAATGGCATGGAAATGTATGGATTTTGTTTGGATTGTTTAAATATATATTTATATGTATATAGTTTTACAGTTAAGGTAAAGTATTGTGCGAGAATACAGACGTGGATATTAACAGATAAAATTTATATACATAGAGTAGAAATTTGCAAATATATTAGTTTATATGAAATGTATTGAATTATAAAAAAATATTTATTACACACACACTATTATGACTTACACACACACATGTATATTATAATACCTACATCAATACGTGAAGTTCCTTCAATGTGTGTGTGTGTGTGTATCACTGACTGTTAAACATTAAGACATTTCTATTCTACTATTCAAGTTGAAATAATCAATTAATTATGATCGTTTGTCGCTATATCTTAATTATTATAAATAAAACTCAATTTCACACTTATATTATTGTTTAAAATATCCTTATTAATAAGCGAGGTACGTAACAGAGAATTTACTTTACAATATCAAATATTTTTCATGAATTCTATTAAAGCCAGATTAAGTAAGTTTGAGAGACAGGGTTCTGGGGAGGAAATCTTAGTATATTTCAGTAAGTAAACTCAGTTAGTAATCGCCGACAATATTATTTAAATAAGACTAATATTTTCGGATGTATGTACTTTTATTTTATTATTTTTAAACTACATGCATTCGACTTTCGATCATTTTCTAGATGAAAAAGTCTATTTGTGAGTATTAGTTTTATTTAACACTAGTTAATAGTACTGCCTCATAAATAAATAATTTTTAATCTATATTTTTGAAGTTTACCTATTAAAGCCATAAATCTCCGTGTTCTGAAGTGCGACAAAATGATTGACATATTAGTTAGTTGTCAAATCTAATGTCAAAAAAACGTTTGTATGGGAAATAGAAAAGGGCTGTTTTTTGGGTTTTCCCAGAAATGAATAATTTTTTTTCAGCTTTTAAACCTTCACAAACATTTCAAGACTAAAATAAGATAAATCCGTTCAGCCGTTCTCGAGTTTTAGTGAGACTAACGAACAGCAATTCATTTTTATATATTTATGTAGATTATTTTTTACATAGATTCGAATTATTTTAGCGTAAAAAATGATTGAAATTAAATTTAGTGCCTCAAAGACTTAGTCATGTTTTTTAAGGAAATTCTCATAAATGACTTTATTATAATTACAGTTGTTTTGATGTGTTTATAACTATTAAGAACCAGAGTTTATGGAAACCAGTATAATATGATTTCAAGATATTTTTAATATAAATTTTGGTAATGAATTAAAAGACAACCTCTATCAGTTTAATAAACTCATTAAGACGATCGGACCTGAAACACGATATAGCAAGAAAATTATGATTTTATAACTAAAAGAAATAAAAAGCAAACTAACTCCATTTATATATTTATTTTTTCTTTATTCAAATGAATTGAATTTAAAAATCTTATGAGTAATTTTTTTATCGAAATATATTTATGAATTTACAGCTTTAGTTTTTAAACATATATTTGTAAATTTTAATCAGAATATTATACAGTTATAACGGAATGACAAACTGGTATATAAGTAAGTATATATATTTTATTTATATAATATTATAATATTTATTTTATTATATCTTACTACTTACCTACATATTGTTTGTTAATGTTAATGTTTTTAACATCATATGGTTAACTAACTGTTTGCTTAAATAAATATCTCAATTTCAGAACATATATAGGTATATTTAAATACCAAAAAATATTAATTTACCTACCCTTTATTTTAATTTTTAAATATTTTATCGCCGAAATAAAACAAGTAGACAGCGGTAACATCGCTCGCCGACGGCATAACTTATAAAGATTAATATTTCAGACATTTTATAATTCCCCGAACGAAGCCGAATAAAACATATCAACAACTAAATAACACAAAAAAAAATCATCAATTATATATTATAAAGTAAGAGACATTTAAATATTCAATCCCCACCTTTATCTGGTAATCAAGAAAATTCCCACCGAAAAAGGATTATTCCACGAACGAACCTCCTTTGCCGATAACGTAAAAAAAAAAAAATAATACCTACTTTATAGCTGGCCGATAACAAACTAATCTTCAAAGGCTTTAAGAGGATATTTAAAAAACTATAAAAACTAAGCTACACCGCCGGTGGATCAGAAGCGGTAATAAAACAGTCTAATTTATAAAGGTCCGATCGCCACACTATAATACGACCACAACAACATTATTCGCTTGGGGATTTTTTTTAACAGCGGAGGGCGTGTAAGGACGGCTTCAAAAAAACCATTGATGAGGCAACGAACGCGCGGTTGGTGAGTTCCTTTTTTGAAATACTCACCGCGCTTCGTGTGTGGTCCCCTATACACTAACCACATATTATTATCAACTCTACTCCCATAGTAATAAGTCTTAATATCGCCTGTATCTATATTTGTATATTTCCCGCATTGTCGTTGTAATTTCGCGCTAATTGGTAGAAAAATTAATTATAATTGTTGATTTAATTAATATAATGTTTACATATAGCTGGTGTTTAATTATTATTCGTATGTTTCATATAAAACACTGAACATTGTTTAATTAGTGCAGACAGAGATATAAAATTACTATTTATTACTTTAATTTTCATTATATACATACGTTAAACATGTGTTGAGGTATTTAGAGCTAATTGGTCTGGAAGATATAAAATAATTCTATTTATAGACTACTTTAAATGGAGATTATCGATTTAATTATATAGATTGTATATTTAATTCAGAAAAAGAATTTTAAAGATAAGCTTTTGTTACATTAATTTAAAATTTTAAGCTTCATCTGTCGCATGTCGCATTACAGTCAACAGCGGAGTAGGGTTAAAGAGAAATTCAGTCGAAAAGACTACCAAGGCCAGTATGAAGAGAAAGAAAAGAAATGTAAATACTCCGCGGTGTATGTGTTTAGATAAATTATTTAAATATATTAAAAACAATTTTTTTGTCATATTCCAATGAATTTAATTAATTCATGTATTATATTATCATAACCAACACGTTTATTAATAGATATTGTTAGAGATTCTTTCTACTATTGATTCATATTTCAATTAAGTTGAAATTATGTCGAAAATAATTTGAAAATTTTCAGTGATCTGCCTAACCAAAAGAATTATAAGTTTCCATCTTGGGTTTATAGAACCATCAAACTACATATACGGCTCCTTTAAATATATAAGTTCGTAAAAAATATTTTAAAATTATATAACGGTTTTAACTGATTGACATTGACAAAGAGATTTTTACTAAGATGAAAGAAGCATAGTATTTTTATTATTATTATAACAATAACAAAAAACGTTAGGTATAGATTTATCGTGTAAATAAAATATAATGGTTCTATCAAAACGACTATATTTATATCTGAACTAACTCTTGACCGTGACCTCGTATGGATGGTCTACGGAATTATTCTCAGAGATATGTATGAAGTGTGTTGATATAAAGTGTGGTTATAAATAGTGTTACAATTAAGAACTATATATATAATAATGAGAGAGAGTTAGTTTAACACATTCATAAAGAACAGTTATATGAACACAGAGGTCAGTGGAACAGGTCCTTGTAGCGAGTGTCTCTCACAGACGAGCTGGACTCATGACTTGTATGAGGACAGCTGGAGGCTTCGGGTCACGAGGACAGGCTTCAGCTGTGATGAACAGACCCGGCGCAGGCTGGGAGACTCATGACGAGAGGGGACGCACCATCACACTGGCAGTGTCGAGTTTATTATACGACACGTACTAAGGACACACACACACGGAATGTGTTCACACATGATGATGTCCGAGTGACGTCATGACGCGTGGAGAAGTCCACATTGGTTGTGATGATGAGTGTTGTATAATGTACATAGGTGGAGGAGGTGATCAGTACATTAGGTGGATGTAACGTGTCACACACACACACACACACACACACACACACACACGCGCCACTTGGAATACATCGACTCTGTGTGATAATACTATGAAGGATCCTCACTTACATTACATGCACGTGACGGCTTAATGGATGCAATTTGTTAGAATTAATATATTTTTAAATTATTCATTATACGTCGAATTAAGATCTACCTAGATAAAAAATATCATACACGTAATAAACATATTATTTTCTATAATATCGAACAACTAAAAAAACCTCTAAAGTATGTGCCAACACATTATCTATTCAATTTTCGAAAAACATCAAATAAACGCTATCCAGACTCCTTGCTCAACCTTGGATGAATCTTCAAAAATCGCGTTCGAACTTTTAAAAAAAAAAATGTAAAGAAATATTTTGACAGCTAACACAATGGCTGTTTAGACCACATGCCGGCAGTTACAGGTGAGTTGTGTAGTTTACCGCGCTTTTTAATAAAAACATTGATAGTTACGTTTATCTTCTTTATATCTATAAAATATTATATAATATAGAATAATCATATTATGGTATTTTAATATACAATTATATATACTACATTCAAATATTACGATTAGTTTCTCTTGGATTTATAAATTAATATATAAAAAATAAAGATATTAATTAATTTAAATGTGTAAGAAAATAATGCTATAAATAATAATAAATAGTCGATAAAAAGCGTTTTTATTACATCGTATACAATAGAACATAAACAAAATTCCAATTTAGTTATAAATTAACGAACAAACGGCAATTTTTTAATATATAATAAATCGCTCCCGCTTCCGCCCATCACTATATCCTCAGCCCATCCACCTTACCTCTGTTATTCCGTTTGGTGTAATTATATACATGATTTTTATTTCGTTTTATCACAGCTGGTTATAAACAGATCGTTTTAATGCACGCGTAAGAAATAATAACATAACAGCTATAAAAATATATTAAACATTTTAATATCAATAACTTTATGTTATAATATTATTATTATTTGTATTATTTTATGTTATATAACGAATATTAATGGGTTATTTCATTCCATATATATTACTCTCGTATATGAGACGAAATCTCTCATCATTAGTAAGAGGAGCTTCAACAGTGACTGGTACTTGTGGCATCTACGAGTATCTAACGCGTATTTTTACGCGCGTATTCAACTACGCGCGCGTAGTATTTGATATATAATTTCGTAATTCAATTATTGCTTTATATAAAAACTAAGTTAATTTCTTTAAAATTGAGATGTTTGCTTCGATATTTTATTATTGTCAAGTCGAAAACATTTTGTTGTATAACAATATAGTGAAACGCGGGAACTGTAACTTAATTCTTATACTTTACCTTCAACAAGGGCTCGCACCAGGACATCCGATTTCACGTCGACCATGAAGCAAAACATTCGTACACAAATACCTGAGTTACACTACACCACACCTGAATCACGATAATCAATTTGCCACAAACACAACAATACCAAAACAAATTCGGCACCAAACGACGCACCATATTTTAAACGTTCTAAGAAAGATTTAAATCCGATTCATTAGACCGACCGTAACGAACTCAGTAAGGATATATTACACCTTATTCCGTGTCCGTAAAGATTTAGAATTGTTGTAAAACTAAATATTTAACCTTATTTAACAAGAGTAGAGTTTTGTAAAAGTTTCCGACAGCGTCGCTAATCGCGCCAAAATATTGACATACAGTTTGACAGCTCGCAGGCACAGAGTACAATGTAACTCACCTGGGTATTGGGCATAGACAAAGGGTTGTTTATGGCGTCGCGAAATTAGGTTTTTTTTTATTCCTTAATATTTTTATTCTTTTGTATGTATTTGTTTAATAGTTCTGGTTCTACTGTTTTACGCGTGCCGTTGGTTTGGAATTAATGGAAAATATTTGCTTATTCAAATTCAGTGTTTTCAAATTAAGTTAAACTGTTATGCTCTGTTATTAAATATTTAGCATTTTATTTTGCTAGTAGATCTATTATTTTTACATTAAATAAAAATACAACTGTTTGTATCTATACATATATGTATGGTACATACTCGTAGATACTTATCTCTATGAGAATAATATGTAAGAATTATTAAAATAAACATTTATGATTATATATTTTTTTAAATAACTTAGAAAAAACAGTAAATACTTTGTTTAGAATATAGGACAAAAATAAAATCGCTTTTATTATATTTACATATTATAACAAAACAAATTAAACTTTTAATCCCATTCTTTTTATACTAAATTTTGATTTGATTATTTCTAAATGTTAAGATAAAAATGTATGTTATAAAATATAATGTTATAATACCTAATGAAAACCGCTTCATATCTGATCAATAGTTTCTAAGAAAATTGCTAACAAACAAACACATGCATATATAAAGAACTGTATGATGTTGGTCATAAAGACACGATAAAAAAAATAAAGACTTATTTACCGTTGTTGTATATAGGTAGGTATATGTAAAGTTTAAAAAAAACTTATAGAAGATATATAGGAGTAAGATACAAAAATAAAGTGATAATAATATTGTATTATATTTCATTGACCTATTCTTATTGTTTTATTTCTTTGATGGTTTCTTCGAAGATATACAATTAATGAGAAACTAACAAACTGGTAGTATTGAGTTACATTGGTAATTCGAATTAAGGTTTCTTAATAAAGGAACATGGTAACAACTGAATACTATTTTTAAAATCGCCAATTCGTTAATAATAATATTTAATATTTTTGCCTGTACTCATTTAAATAAGACTTTCATCTCGTCTCTACTTTCACGGTTGTATTTAAGTAATCGAAACGTCGGGAGAAGATATGAAATAAAACACGTAGTATTAGAAAATTTTAATTAATTTAAACTTGAGATATTTAATTATACTTAAAATAAATAAACGGGTTTGGATGACAATTAGTGGAGAGATAGTTTAGACCATAGAAGGGACATGGGATACTTTATATACGATTGAAAAAGAAAAAATAATACCTAAGTTGATCATCATCATTCTTCAGAGAATTTCTTTAATGAGAATTACTAATTCTGACACTAACGCAGACGAAGTCGCTAAACTAAACTAGTATATAATACAAATTATTTCAATTTTTTCTTTTAACTCGGTTTTCTCAGATATAATTATATTAATTATTTTGTAATAAAAATAATCTATCTTATAAATATGGTATATTTAATACATTAGCAGATATTATTTGTCGTGATTGTATCTATTAATTTAATATTTTTCATATCTGTCTTCCGTGTACCTATATATATTTTAATACTAAAACTATTGATTGGAACATTTTTAATGTACTGATAATTTACTACACTTTTACATTTTTTTAGTACCTACTTAATAAATAAATCGTATAGATCTTCACTTTATCTTCATTTGTGTTTTACAAGCGAAATAATATTTTTTTAAATATTATTCATAAAATTATCTACTATTTATTTTTATTAAATACCTACTTCCCATTCGAAGCAAAATCTTGTATAAATTTAATTTTTATATCAAAACAAAGAAATATTTTTTAATCAGTTGTAATGTATATTGTTCTATAACATTAACTGTTTAATATCAAAAGTTATTTTTAAATTCTTCCAGCCATTTTACAGAGCATGAACCAAATATATTATTAAAAATTTAAGACTAATTTAAGACCACCAAATTAAAAGTGGCGGGAACTGTCAGGTTTCTTAGCGATAGAAGAATGCCGATAATAATTAAAGGAAAGGCATACAAAACCATCTTTCACACTTGTTCACAATGCATGCTGGCCTGAAGAAAACTCATAATAAAAATGCACTACAGAAATGAGAATGATGAGATTTGCAGAAGTCACTCTTGTAGATAAAGTGAAAAACAAAGTGTAAACTCTATATAACGACACTGAAGGGACTGTGCTTTTTATGGCGTTATGGAGAGTTGCCGTTAATAGAGTGACGTTATATGGAGTTTACAATGTATATCCGTATGAGTTTTAAGATCAGCTCAATAGAAAACAAAGCGAAGGATCGCGTTTGAGGTGGTACGGCCCGAAGACAATATGACAAGTCCTAGGCTTAGATACTGGGCTAAGAAGTTAGGGAGACCATTGTAAATTGGATGTCACTCATACACAAGGACGTAAAGTAAGCCCAACTTGATGCCTCGACCATACAAGATAGAACCCCAAGTGAAATAGGCTAGCCACAAAGAGAAATTTAAGACTAATATTTCTTTTCATTATAAACATACAAGTATTCTTCTTCTACTTGGCAATTTCCCATCTATAGCCAGGGTCTGCCTTACATGTTGTGAATAGTTTTGACTAATTGTTTTTACGACCGGCCGCCTGCCTGACATCAACCCTCTTGGGGATTGCATTAATCAGTGATGTCTAAATACTCTTGAAAGTACATATGACTCGGAAAAATCACATTGGTACTTGCTCGAGCCAGTTTCGAACCGGCGCCTTCGTGCATGAAAGGCGAGCCTTTTAACCACTAGGCCAACTCTGACTTACAAGTACCTATTAGGTATTCTAATTTTAATGACCTAAAAATTTTGCGGCAAATTCGTAATTAAAAATCTATTTACTAAAAGTGACAACTGTCATTGTCATAAAAACAAGTAATGAAATAAATTATTCATCTTTGATTTAAATAATAAATAGGTATATTTAATTTATAATATTTAATTTAACAAAATCATTTAGGTATAAGTATATATTAAACTGACAGTAATACAAACAATTATTAAAGTTATTTCAACTCATTCGTAAAATAACACAAATTAAAATTATTATCACCATTTATTTTTTATCCGCCGCCATTTTGTGA